TCTTTATAGTTTATAACTATTATGAAAGGGGTGTGGTCCCCGTTTTAGTTTGTCACAGAAAAAGTACTCGTTTTTCCTATGGAGGGGTTGTCCGAACATGCAAGCACCAAGAGTTGCAAGATCGTGCAAGCACTGCATAAGCCTAAAAGCTGGAGTGAAGAAGCCAAAGAAAAAAGTTGAGCAAAATGCTGAATGAATAGTGGACAAAGTGAATGGCAGTGCAGCAAGCAAGGGAAAAGTGAACGAAAGCAAAAAACAAGAGTTGAGTGATGCAATGCAAGACGTGTGCAAGTGGAAAAGAATATTGAGTTAAGTATCATGACAGATAGTTGAAAAATAGGATGATATTGAGAAACCAAGTGGTTGACCCTTACTAATAGACTTAAACTTGGGAGTGAAAATAAGTTTAACTAATCGTGCATCAAGCCCAAATTTTGTACCCTTTTTTATTCTCAGTCCCTAAGACGCAGTATCAAAGTCAAAGGTTCAGTTATGACGAGGTTCATATGGTATCTAATTACTAAGAAGATTCAAAAACGGGTGACTCTCATGATGCTTCCACATAGATAAGTGAGCACTTGATACTACATGATGTTAAAAAAGGGGTTAAAAGGAAACTCATAGTTGATGTGAAGATACCATATATGATGTGGAGTATAAAAAGGCACATGAAGGTATTATGTTTAATCCTACATTGTATAGTTAAAAAAAATATTTGCATTGAAATATCAAGTGTTTGGCCGTAACGCATACATTTAAATTTTTTGATTGAAAATGAGGTTTTTTTTGTGTGGCTAAAATGACTTTGACTAAAGGAGCATTTAGCCCAACTTTGAACCTTCTTTGAATCTTACTCTTTAACATCATCAGCACACAGATTTAAGTGCATTAGGAACACGCACAAAGAATGTGGCTTAGAGCAAACACACTAAACTTGAACAGTGTACAAGTAATGAGCAAGTTGGCATGAAAGCCGAGCGATTAAGCAACTTAACGAAAGATCGAAGATAGCATGTTACTCAATTAGTATCAAATGCAAATAAAAAAGAAGGAAAAAAAATTCAATACGGGGACACCAAAAGAGAAAGAGATATTTAAGAAGTAATATTTTATTTCAATTCACGGAATGAGAAATTACACTCTTAACATCTTATTTATAAAAAATAGTAATACATTTAAATTTTAAAAAAAATCATATTATCTAGATTGACTAAAATACAAACAAATGGGTCGAAATCAAACTTAATATTATTTAAAAGGACAATTCATTTCAACTTAAAAAACTAAATCTAATTAATGAAATAAATAATTATAATAATTGATTTAATTCACTTACGGCTTGGACAATGCAACTTGATTTGAGCTCCTATGTTGCATCAATATTGATAATGATTATAAAATATTTAGACATATCATCATAATATTTATGTGATTTATTTATTTATTTTTTACTTGTTATTTTTTTTTATTTCCCATGAATATCACACTTGGTTTTAATGCTCATATGAATCATATCACCTTCATTAGCCTTACCACAACTATTTAGCATCAGCTTAAAGAAACTGCAATTTTCAATCATTCCCGTTGAGTATTATCTATGTTGTTAGATTTACTCTTTTAAAATATTTTCAGCACTTCTCCCACCTAATTCTCAGCATTAATTTTATCAACTCATACAGTGAGTGTATTTTCTAAACTTCGTGATACATGTTCAAGCCACCAAAATATATTTTCAATTATTTTATCTTTAATAAATGTCGCTCAAATCATCATGCTAATGTATTCATAACTGAATTTATCCTTCAAGGGTTTGCCACTTCAATCTTAAAATTTTTCTTTATGCCACATAAAACTTAAATATTAACAAGAGTTTTATTGTCTAACACTTGCACTTGAATCTATGTGACGTCGTCAATCTAATGTTATTCCATAAAAATGTACAAATAAATTAAATTGAATCTATATAAATATTTTGAAAAAGTATTACAAACCTTAAATGGGAATTTATGAAATATAATTTAAGAATAATAATTGATATTCCTTGATCATAGCGATCGACTATCTAATTAAGATATTATAACAATTTTAAAAAAGTGGAAAGTGTTTAAATATTTTATTATGTTTGAAGATCTCATAATTATATATTATTTGTCAAGTGATGATTATATTAGCAATATGTGTATCATTTAAGGTCATACGTAAGAAATTAAGCATGAATTAAACTACACCTCTCCAAAAAGAATACTTTAGTTGTTTTATAGAATTATATATTACGTAAGAAATATTACTGCCCCTCAATTTCGTATTCCTGAGAAAAATCTTTTGTATCTCACCTAAAGCCTATAAAACATAAACCAAGATTAGTATCATGTAGGGTCAAATTAAATCCTATTGAAGAAATTACTGTTTTTAAATTTCATTTAAATAATGTAGTAGATATAATATATATCAATAAAATATGAATTTAAATATGGCATTTCAACAAAACTAAACCAATGTTTGTATTAGAACCTAAAAACTACACGAAATTATGCCTTAAACTTAACAGCATATATCATAAACATGAACTAAAACTGAGCAAGCCAAAAATTAAAATTGAGATAATATATGAAATTAAATTTGAATTAAAATTAGATATCTTCATGATGTTAAAAGTGAAAAATAAGATTGTTGAAGTTGATAAATAATTGAACAATATGATAAAACTCCTAATGAATCGTCCATTGAAATCATCCAAAACTACTAATCAACCACAACTACTTATCAAAACAAAGTTGAGTTTAGTTTTGGTATTTGATTTCTTGATTCTTAAGTTTATAAAAGAACCTTACTAAAAAAGTCAAATTACATCCACATGTGAATGGATTTATTAATGATAAATGAACTAAAAAAATTTTGAAAGTTAAAACTCCATCTATGTGGTTGAATCTGAGGGTACATAAATTCAACTTGATAAATTTTAAACAATTTGGATTACCTTTCTTTAAGGAGGCTGTCACTAAATAACATACAAGCCCTACAATTTAACCATTACTAAACATATAAAACTATTAACACTAAGCCTACATGCATCATATCCTATCGCAATACACATTATTTGCATGACGAGATTCATTGAAAATTTGTTATTAGATAGTCAAAATTATGATTCTATTGTAGATTTGAACTAAAGATATGAGAAATTTAAAAAAAGAGATAAGATAAAAGTTTCAGCGAAACCTTAAAAGCTATCCTCCAAAAAACCTTGAGAATTTGATTATTAGAAAAATAGAATCGCCTAAATTTAAAAAATGAATTAGGATATATGCTTAAAATTTAAAAAACTTAATAAATTCTAGTATTTGTCCAAATTTTAATATAAATAATTTGATTTTATATAATGAAACATCAATCAAAGGTTCTAATAATTCTCTTTTCCGACCTCATTCTTCTAGTTTCACATCCCAATCAACTATCTATATATATAATAGAAATCTAGAGTAGTCCTGCTCCTGAAGATGTTGGTAAAGACATTGTTTCAATAAATAATGGTGGATACTAAAGATACCTTGTAAAGTGGAAAGATTAACCTAAAGGTGATTACTCGCTAATATTTCTACATGTAATCCAACAGTCATGTCTAGACCTACTGGAAGAACATCAACCAAACAATTCATTGAGCTTAATTTTTACAAGCCAAGTCAAATGAAGTTGACATTTTTTTAATTTTATTTTTCATGAATATTTGAGTTTTTTAAAGCCTTTTTAACTTTTACTATTTTATTATAATTACTTTTGTTTATGTAATTAATTCTATTGACAATTTATATGGAGCACATAATTGGCATTCTCTTAGCAATTTATTGGCCATTTATTAGCAATTATTGGCAATGCATTAACAATTTCTTAGAATTTTATCAGTTCTTCAATCTATAAATATGATACTTCAAATCATATAAAGCAACTTTGGCATGAATAAAATTTTAATTATGGATGTGGAAACCATTATGCTCTGTTTATTCTGATATTTTGATCCTTGATAAGGCATGAAACTACAAAATTTTTAGAAGAGAATATCTCCCTACATATGCTTAAGCCTCGCCTTTCAGCTGACTGTTTTCTTCTCTTGTTTCTCTTTCTTCTATGTTTCCTTTCATTATTGGCGTAAGAATATGTTTAGTCAATTTTATTACAATATGAAATTATATTGATTGCAAGAATTTCAATCATTTGGAGCTTACTTGAACTTAATTGAAGTCATTAATTTCAAATGAAAAGACAAAGTTAACTTCTGAATTGATTTATATCATTTTCTTTTTCCATTGATAATAGTAATAGTTGTCTCTAGATTAACAGCTTTATTCTTCAGAATTTTGCATATTTGTTGCATGATTTTTCAGATAGCATATTATATATGTAATAGAAACACTAATTTCTGGAAAATCTAGCATCAACAAACAAAAGAAAAGATTGTCACAGTAAGCACAACAAGACAGATAGTTGGAGGCTCTCTTAAGCGTTCAATAAAAATCATGCTCTCTCAAAAGTTAGTGACTTCTGTAAGCAATGACTTGTTAGCACAGCGCAAAATGACATGAGCTTTATAACTTTGGCTCTTCTGTCAGCAATGGTTTATAAGCATTTCTTGAAAATAATTTATAATAATGTTTTTTGCAGCTGACATGCTTTAATCTTCTCTGTAAAAGCTGCATGAATTTCCAATGCAATGCCTCTAGAGATTACTTTAAGATCCAACCACCATTTTTCTCCCTGATGACTTGGAAACCAGATATTCTTATAAAGGATACCCCTCCGATTATTAAATTTCTAGATAGATACATAACATGTCGGGGATGTTTGTTAGCAGAAATTTGAGCAGGATTTAAGCAGGATGTAGCCTAAATACTGCCGAACAGCAAAAAAGACAACTTTAATAAATCCTACAAGATATTAAATCCCGTTCTCCTCCATTTTTGCCTTAAATCCTGAATTTAGCGAATCCGATTGGAAGGCGGAATTACCGGATTTAGAAACTTTAGGAGGCGAAGTGGAATGGAAGAAGATGAGACTACCTTCAACTCTTCCTCGTTAAAATCTTCCTTCTCCTTCACAATCCGCTCGCCGCACGCCGCTCGTCTCTGGTCCCGTCGATGCAGCCTTAAGGTCGCGGCGACGGGCGCGACTTCCACCAAGTCTTATTTATTTATATCTAACACATAAATTTTTAATTTTACAAAATTAGTATAGTTCTATTTATGATGTGTAGGGCTGGCAAAATAGCTCATTGTTCGCGAACAGCTTGTGTTCGACTCGTTAAGAAGCCCTTATTCGGCTCATTAATTTTGTTCGATAACTTAACGAGTCAAACAAGAACAAATATGTGTTCGTTAGTGTATGGCTCATTTTGGCTCGAAATACTACTCATCAAGGTTATATATTTATATTCAAAAAATCTAATTGACTACAAGCCTACAAAGCTTTATAATCAATTAAAATATTGATTAAGAAAATAGAATAAAAATTCTTAAATTAGATTCAAATGATGTTTTAATATAAATAATAATTTTTAAATCGTGCTAAAACCCTTGTCTTATGGCTACGTGATTAGGGCTGTTAAAAGAACTCTTTGTTCGTGAACAGCTCGTGTTTGGGTCCCTTAAGAAAACACATTTTGAGCTCGAAATATAAATGAGCCGAACACGAGCTGAGCATGGCTCGCTCATGGTCGGCTCGTTTACAACCCTACTGATGTGCTATGGAACATTTGTGGTAAAAATATAAAAAAAGGTAACGTTTGCTATAAAAATATTATAAAAATAAATTTATTCGAAAAATAGCATCATAATTCAAAATAAAAAAAGCGAATTATTAAAATTAAATAATATTACATCTATTTCAATTTATTTTTTATATTTTTTGTAAATTATAAATATAATTACATATTTCAATATAATTATTCATATTAAATATGATTTCATGAAATTACAAATTCTATGTGAAATTCAAACTAAATAAAAACAAATTTATTAAAAAATCTAATGTAAAATAATTAATAAATAAATTTAAACATTGAGACTAATTATAATTTTATCTCATATTTTTATTTTCTATTTTGGCTTGCTCTAAAATATATAAGTAAAAAAATTTAAGATAAATATACATTAGGAGTGTACAAAAATGAATTTTTCTTTTTTAAATACTGGGGCTTTTACATTCTATTCCACCCAATTTTTTTGTACATACGCATATAACATATAAACTTCAATTTTTATATTTATACTGCCCAAATTTTTTATATCATATCAAAATTATCATTATTTTAATTGTTATTATATTACTATTTTAACTTTGTTTAACTTTCAAGAAGTGAAATATACATTTTTTATGCATAAATGAAGTGGTAGATATATAAATAAATAGGAATTGAGTGGTTTGTATGTAAATTTCGCAATAACATCATATAAGAGGAAAGCTCCCTTTAGAATTAGTCCCACATTGGCATCAGGATATGTGGGCTTTGTACGCTTGTAGTTACTTTTTATAACCAAAAAATTTAAAGCTAGATCTGTAAGCTTAAACTTATATGGGGAAAATTATTAAGACATGCAAGGGTAAAAAAAGCTTCATGCTAAAATATAAAACATACTAGTGGCCTTTAATAAATAACATAAAATATAGACATTATGAATTTGCATCAATTATGACAACAGCTGTACATGAACACCACTACTAAGCTCCAAATTATTTTGCATTCCCTTGTAGGAATTTTAAGTGTTTGTTCAACTTGATCAAGCATCATATCATAAAGGCAGATAAGAATAACTCAGTAGCGAGGAAAACAATGACCTCTACGGTGCAAGATGGACGATTCGCTTCAACCCCTCTTAGAATTATATTATGTTTAGGGCTGGCAAAGCGGTTCGTTGTTCGTGAACAGCTCGTGTTCGGTTCGTTAAAAAGCTCGTGTTAGGCTCGTTCGCTAAGTTAACGAGCCGATCCCGAACAACACGAACAAAAATTTGTTTGTTCGTGTTCGGCTCGTTTTTGTTACTACTAATCAATTATATATATATATTTTTTTTTATGAGCAATATTTTTAAAAAAATTAATTGACTACAAGGCTACAAAGATTTATAATCAATTAAAAGTATTAATGGAGAAAATAGAATAAAAATTATTAAATTAGATTCAAATGATGTTTTAAATCTTGCCCCAATTCTTGACATTTTATTGCTATGTGATTAGGGTTGTGAAAACGATTTTTTGTTTGTGAACGGCTCGTGTTCGGCTCACTAAGCAAACGAGCAGAACACGAGCAAGCCTACCCCTAATGAACGGTGGAAATCGAACACTATATGCATTTCTGCATAAGCCTAGGAGCTCATGTTCGGCTCGTTTACACCCCTAACCACTAGAAAAATCACTAAAAAGGGAAAGCATAATGGATAAAAAAATTTCCAGAGAATTTCAAGATCATTCAAGCCTTGATTTCAACAACTACATAGGCAACTAAATATTTGGACAAAATAAGTTAGGAGCCATACTAAAAACAATTCGATTTGAGCCTAAATAAGCTTGTATCAATCACTTGAAGTATGATTAAAATTTTTGAAAGTATTAATTCAAACGTTAAATAACATCTAAATCTGACATAATTTTAGTCAAATTGAACTTCTCAACAAGAAAAACCCCGCTAGCATAAAATTACTTAATTCTAAGCTCATTAATATAATAATCAAATGGAGTGTTTTGAAATTTTGATTAAATTTATCAAAATAAAATTGATGAGGACAAACAATAAAATCAAAAAGCTACCTTTAAAAAAAGAAAGAATATATGTCAAGCAAAGCCACGGAATCATCAGCTTTTTTAGGAATTCCTTAACCACTAGTAATGAAAAGGATCATATTCGGTTCTCTTACTCCATGTCAAATATTCTGTCTCATCAACGAAAAATTATTCTATGTGGATCGGACACCGCATGCGGCTTGCGTGCGGTGTTCGATCCGGACCGTAAATCACCTCATCTACGGTTCGGATGTATTTCGGTGGGCCCCACCTAAAAAAAATTTTAAAAAAAAGGAAATAATCCTGACCGTAGATCACCGTGATCTACGGTCAGAATCGGACACCGCCAGCGATGCATGCGGTGTCCGTACGCAATAATTTCTCCTCATCAACACAATATGCCACACAATTTCAAAAAAAAATTCATTCTAATATTCTATTCTAGACATGAACATATAAGAGAATCTTCATGAAAAGAACTATAGCCCCAACAAGTTTTGCATTTTAATATCAATTTGATATAAACTATATTTAAAATATATTCAAATTCAAAACATTTAAAAACTAATTGCCTCATTTTCTTACATTAAATGATTTAAACTTCAAGAATCATAATTATTCTCACTTTCATAGTTGTTGTGAAAAAACGACGGCAATAAAGTGAAAAATCGGATTAATAAATTCACAAAACAGAAAAGCACGGCGGAAACATGCAAATTTACTTGGTTCGACAAATTGTCTGCGTCCGTGAAGCTGCAGAGGATTTTATTAGCTTGA